AATAAGTCAGCGTCTGAGATTTAGTGACGTGATTGCCTTAAACTTAAAAGTGGGATGTACAAAAAAATGATTCTTTTATTTGAAATATTTTCATTGCTCGCTTAGGAGACAAATCATGACTGTAGATGCAAATGGTGATATTTTACTCTTCATTTATAGTTCACAGATATAGGGCATATTTATTATTTGCAAGCAATTTTATCAAAATATAAGTTGCAGACCCTAAATGTTACTTAAAAAATTACACAAAAATATTATTCTATAGAGACAAAACAAGTAATATGAAAAAAAATTTTAAGTCAATTCCTACTTACAAGGAGAGGGCACGACTAAGGAAATTCATTTGGGATCGAGACTTGGTGTAATAGTAGTAATCTTTTGGGGTGTTCCCCCCTCAATGGAATTAAAAATCGAATCCGTCAATTGGGAAAATCGGCTTCGAAATTAGTTTAAGCTTTATACTTAAAAAATTTTAATTTTCCCCAACGAGTTCGTAGCGATTGGTAAATCGTCTGCTTTCTATGCTGGAGGTTGGGTTGATTCCACGCGATCAATTTTTTTTTCTTAATTCAAATTATTTGTTTAAATTAAATGAATTTATTTATAGTTTATTAAATATTAAATGTATTTTTTTTTTTTTGTTTTTTAAAAAAAAAAAATTACTTTGATTATATAAATAATTATAAAATTTTATAAATATATTTTATATTTTTAAAAAATTTTATAATAAAATATAAATAAAAAAAATGATATTTTACAAAAAAAATTTTTGCAAATTTTTATAATTTAAAAACAATATACTATAAGAAAAAATTTTTTTATAAATAAAAAAATTTATAAAATATATTTTATTAAATTAATTATTTTATAAATTTAAAATAATCAAAAGTATGTCTTTTTTTTTATGTTATTAAATTAATTATGTTACAATTTTATAAAATATTTAATATGTCCTTTTTTTAAAAAAATTTATTTTTTCAAAAGTTTTTTTAAATAATTTTAATAAATTCAATTTAAAAAATTTCTATAATAAATTAATAATAATTTCTATAATAAATTAATAAAAAATTTCAATAATAAATCATAATTTTTAAAAATAAACAATAATTTTTAATAATAAACAATAATTTTAATAATAAATTAATAATTTTAATAATAAAGTAATAATAATTTTAATAATAAATTAATAATAGTTCTTATTAATACTAAAGCTTAATAATAATTAATTACTTATAATAAATAGGGATTAATTAATTAATTTAAACAGTGATTAATTAATTATTTTTAATAAATACTAATTTTAATTATTAATAATTTTCATTAATAATTATTTTAAATATTTTTATTTAATAACTATTTTTAATATTTTTAATTAATAATAATTTTAAATATTTTTAATTAATAATAATTTTAAATATTTTTAATTAATAATAATTTTTAATAATTTTACTAGTAAAAAATTTAAGTTATATATTTTAAATTTTTTTTATTTTATAAAATACAAAATAATTACAAAAATATCATTTAATTTTTAATAAACCTTTTATAAATAAATTTATTTAATTTAAAAATAATTAAATGAATTGAAGAAAAAAGTTGATCGCGTGGAATCGGAACCCTAACCTCCAGCATAAAAGCAGACGACACCAATCAAGCTACGAACTCGTTGCGGAAAATTAAAATTTATGTATAAAGCTAAGCATGGATTTGAAGCCTGATTTCTCCGAATTGACTCCATTCGACGGAATCCATTGAGGGGGAACACCCCAAAATACTACTATTACACCAAGTCTCGATCCCAAATAATTTCTTAGTCGTGCCTCCTTGTAGATCAAAGAAAATTTTATTTAGCTTACTTTTTATTAAATAGTTACACTTAATATAAATAAATTTTATACATATGATGAATCACAGATTGAGTGGTAATTAATTTTTATTCATTATTATAAGAATCGTACTGACATCCAAAACAATCGATGTGTATAAAATTCCAGTTGAACTGAATGCTTTTAAAACGTGTGAAAAAAAAATCTTTGTGCAAATTTTGACACAAGTCGCCACAATTGTCGCTAAGTCGCCAACGTGGCTCTGTGTGTGTGTGTGTATTTGTAATTTAAATAATTTGTTTTAATCAATTAATTTTTATTAATTATAATTAAATTATTGTATTGACATCCAAAATAATTACGTATATAAAATTTTAGCTCAATTGAGCGCTTTAAAATGTATTTTATTAACGATTGAAAATTCCACTAAGATAAATAAATAGAGAGTGTGAGTTAAAATAGTGGAAAGTGAAAAAGTTCCCCTTGTTCGAAATTTTATTGTATGTATTGTTTTTATATATAGGTCTACTTTACTCAATTGTCTGAAACCTAAGACATATTTTTTAAATTACTAAAAAAATTCACTTCACTGAATATGACATTTTCATAAAGAGCTTGTTTGTTTTAATTACATCATATTAAGGAAGTTTCTGAATAAATTTTAAGATTTAAAAGTTATTTAATAGTAGATATTAATTGTCTACTCTTTCTGGAGATCAAACATTTTCCTTAGTTGAAAAACTGTAGACGCAAAAATAACGTCTTAATATGTATTTATCATTCAAAGAAAAGCGAGGGCTTTTTGGTGACGGACCTCGTAATTTTGATTCAAGGTCATGTGACGAGGACGACACCTGAACTGGCACCCCCTCTCCTAACTACCACATCACACAACGGGAGAACGTTTGAGCTCACGACAGATTAACGTGCATCACTCCCCTAAGTCTTTTGTAGTACTGGGGTTGAACTCGTGACATGCCAGCCACGACCCGATACCTTTACCACTAGGCTACCGCAGTTACTTTTAAAACGTGAGGGAAAAAATATTTTAAAGTTTTGACCCAAGTCGTTAAAAATGAAGAAAACGTGGCTCTGTATCTGTAATACTTTAAATAATTAATTTCAGTCAATTAAAATTTTAATTAAATTAACGTATTGTCACCTAAAATAGTAGTATAGAGAAAATTTCAGCTCAAATGAGCTCTTAAAAATATTTAAAAAAAGAAAAAAACTTATTAAAGTTTTGACACAAGACGCTAAAAAGGTCGCTAAGTCACCAAAAATGATGCGACCTTGGTTGCATTTGTAATTCTTTAAATAATTAGTTTTAATCAATTACTCTTTATGAATTATAGTTAAATTACCTCTTTAGCTTCCAAAATAATCGTGTGTATAAAATTTCAGCTCGATTGAGCGCTTTAAAATGAATTTTATTTACGATTGAAAATTTAAACAAGATATAGGGAGATTGTGAACTAATCGTAGGAATTGAAAACGTATAAAGAGGTTATTCATTTATAACTGTACTAAAAGTATATAAGGTGCTTTTTCAAACTTAGAGAAAACTGATGAAATAGAAATACTAGTAAAAACATTTAATTTCTACCAATGAATTATAAATGCGATATAATTCTCTTTTATAAACACTTTTTTCGCTGCCTTTCAATAAATTTCATTTGAAGATTCTTACTTTTGTAATATTGTTTGGAATGTGATTCCCCACAATGTATTACATATTTTAAATATCTTTATCCTATATGATTGTGCATTAACTAAATTGCGATCAAAATTATGTTTGCCAAAAATATGTTTTAGACTAATTTTTGCTCTTTTTCTAGGTTAACAGGAAAAGGAACTCTGTAAGGATACTCTAAATATGCTGATATGTTTCCAAATTTATTTGTAGATTCTGATGACATTTCCTAGATTTGTGATGCATTTATTCTTTCGCAAAAATCTGTTCTATGAACGAAAAGAATTATGTTTATAATGTATTGAAATGTCTTTAGAAAAACTGCTTTATAAATTTAACTTCTATTTGAAATAAAAGTATCTGGGTTTATACTTTGATTTGTTTGGTTTTTTCTAAATTCCCAAACGTAGTAAGCACCCACTTTTAAAATATAGGTCAATTCGTTGCGTTTATAATTTTGTGCAAACACATTTTTCTTACCTTAGAAATTCTGAAAATATATGAATTTAAAACCGTATAACAAATATATTTTATAATTTCTCACTTGATCCAGTCGTGAAACTGAAATTGGAAGGTATATTTCACTAATATGTGATTACTTGTCCTTAGGGTCACCATGCCGACAACTGATATTCCATCGGGGAATTGGATCACTTAGAATTTTCGTAATTTCTATTTTCTGAACAGTAAATAACTTTTATTACTGGTCTGTGGTAAAATAAACTTGACTGTCAAAGAAAAGAAGCGAAAAAATTTCGAAACAGGGAATTTTAAGTTATACACTCGGTAAAAGCCCGAGCAACGCAGGGCTAAGAGGAGAGGGAGTGGAAGTCTTTTTGATTGATTGAATATTAACGTCGCACTGTTCAGCTACACGAAGGGCTTTTTGGCGACGGACCACGTAATTTTGAACCACGGTCGGACGTGGACGACACCTGAGCTGGAACCCCTCCCTAACTACCCACCACACCACGGAGGACGTTTCAGATCTCGACAGATTTAACGTGCATCGCTGCCTACACGGCGGGTCTTTAGTGGTACTGGGCTCGAACTCGTGACAAGGCAAACCACGATCCGATACCTATACTACTCGGCTACCGCGGCCATGGAAGTCTTTTTGAAAAAGAGTATTAGAAGTGCTGATTTTGTGAAGGAAGGGAAGATTTATAAACTTAGAGAATGCCCGTGCAACGCCGGGCCTTGCAGCTAGTCTTTTTAACTGATTGCGATATTGGAATATAAATGGTCAAAACATGCATTGTCATCCAAATTAAACGGGTATACAACATTTCAGCTCAATCGGTTGAAGACGTCAGCTTCAAAATTAAGTTGCAAGATTCCTCCCGAACATTTTACATTGCAAATTAAATAAAAACTTGTAAAAATATAGCATACTTTGTACGTATGCTGAGGGGAAGTAGTGTAAAATATCTCTTTGTACAAATCAAATTTCAAAAATATTTTACACAAAAAATAATAATTGGAGGTGCGGGGTATCAATCCCCATACATCTCGCAGGATAAGCGAGTGCTCTACCATCTGAGCTACGCTCCCTGTCGACGCCTGCGTTATTGTAAACATGCTCGCCTTAACACTGGAACAAGATCGTTACAGTTACTAGGTCAATTAAAAGTGTTACGGGGGACAAACTAGAATTGAGTAAATGAACATCAAAGAATGTTTCAATGTAAATAGAAATAGCTTGATAAATCTGCCTTTCTTAGTGTTCCCTCTAGAACAGTAAAAATATAACATACTTTTTAAGTATGCTGAATGAAAGTATTGTAAAATATCCCGTTGTACTACAAATCAAACGAATTTCAAAAATATTTTACACGAAACAATAATAATTGATGGCGCGGGGTATCGATCATCGTACCTCTCCAATGCTAAGCGAGCGCTCTACCATCTGAGCTACGCCTCCGGTCCACACCTTTATTATTGTAAACATGCTCATCTTAACACCTAAACAAGATCGTTACAGTAACTAGGTCGATATCGGAATATAAATCGTCAAAACATGCATTTTTATCTAAACTAAACGTGTATACAAAAATTTTAGCTCAATTGGTTTAAGAAAATTTAGCTTCAAAATTGGTTGCAAAATTCCCCCCCCGAAAAATTACTTTTGGGTTTAAAATCTTTTTTTAAATAATTTCGATATTGGAATATAAAGGATCAAAACATGGTTGTGATCCAAAAATAAACATTAAAACAACATTTCAGGGTCAATCGGTTTGAAAACATCAGCTTCAAAAAGAGTTTTCAAATTCCCCGGAAAAAACCTTTTGTTAATATCTTTTTTAAATAATCACGTTTTGGGAAAATAAATGAAACAAAAAACGGTTTTATCCAAACTAAACGTGTATACAACATTTCAGCTCAATCGGTTTGAAAACATCAAACTTCAAAATTGATTTCCAAAAAATTCCCCCAAACAAATTACTTTGGGTTTAAAATCTTTTTTAAATAATTTCGATTTCAATTTTAAATGTCCCAAAAAATGCATTTTTGTCAAACTAAACGTGTATTTCAACATTTCAGCTCAATCATTTTAAAACATCAGCTTCAAAAATTTAGTTGCAAGATTCCCCGAACAAATTACTTTAGTTAATAAAATTTTTTAACTAATCACATTTTTGGAATATAAAAAGATCAAAACCTGCATTTTTGATCCCAAAATAAACGGGGTACACAACATTTCCAAAACTCAATCGGTTGAAAACATCAGCTTCAAAAAATTAGTTGCAAAGATTCCCCCCGAAAAAATTACTTTAGTTAATACCTTTTAACTAATTATGATTTAAATATAAATGACCCAAAAACATGCATTTGATCAAACAACGTGTATACAACATTTCAGCTCAATCGGTTGAAAACATCAGCTTAAAAATTGAGTTGAAAAGTTTCCCCCGTTTTAAATTAAAGTTAAAAAAACGTAAAAAGGAAAATCGAAATTTTTTTCGAAAAAAAAATGGGCAGGATGGGGAAAATATAACCGAATTATACTTAAAAGGATTTATGATTCCAATTATTCTCATATCTTTTACAATAATACTTTTCTCCTCAATTAATTCTCGTTTAAACCCCTCTTTAAATGTTTTTCATGCCCCCCTCCCCCCCCCGAGATCCTTTCCTGTACCCTCTTCCACAGGGAAAAAGCTATTTTAAAGTTGGCATCTGTATAAATTTCTCTAATTTTGAATACAAGATATGTTCAAGAAAAGCAACCTACCTTTAATTTTCCGAGCACAGTACAGATTCTAAAACAGTCCCACTGAGTACAGCGATAAGTGACAGCTTAGTGCATGTGCTTGAATTTTTCCCACTCGTTCTAGTGTACCAACAATTTCCAACAAGCAGTAGAGGGGGAGGGGCTTTTTTTATTGTTTATTTTCCTAAAAGACGAATATTTTAAGCAGTGGTACTACATCTATTGTTTTGTCAAAAGCTATTTGATTTTCTAAGTGAAGCTATTCATAAGATTCAGTACATTTTTGAAGACAATGCTATAGAGGTCACACATGTTAAGGAGAGGTTTAACCCATTGAAATGTGGTCGCACGTTGATAGAGAGCGACCAGGATTTTGGGAGGCTACAAATCTCTCGAAATACATCTGTTGGTCACACAAATGGTGGAAAGTGTGATAATTAAAGTTTGTTGTTCGACCTAGCGAGAGACTGCTGAATAAGTTAAGATAAATATACAGGTTCTCTATCTACAATTTTGTGTGCTCGTGTTTAGAAAGGCTGCGAAATTTGTTCCCGAGTTTTACGGGTTTGGAACAAAAAGAACTCCCCCTAAAGTTGACAAAACCTACTGTACTCTTAACGCTGAACCTGATTTTTTTTGGACTTCGGCTCTTCAAAAATGAAAATACCATTAAATGACCCCATTTTCAGAGTGAGAGGGGAGTTAAACACCCTTTCCCAAAAAGATCCCCCAAATTGTTTTCTGGTGCAAAAATACTGGGTAAAATATAAACCCCTTTGGGTACTTTAATTTTTTATTGGGACCCCAACCCCAAAGTACAGGAAATTTTTTCTCCCCAAAGTTCGGATATTTTTTTTAACAGACCTTGGAATGTAAGTATTTTCTTTCTCTTTTCCCCAGTGCCTCTGAACATTTCCAAGGTTTTTTTTTATGATACACGTTATTTTCATAATGTAAATCAATTTATAATATTTATATTTAAACACATTACACGTAGAAAATTCTTAGGAAATAAAAATGAAAATAAAGAACTCTAATATTTTTTAGTTTTACTTAAGGTATCCGAACACGTTCGGAACCGTGATTTTACAAAAGCGTGTAAATGGAAAATATTTATGATATTTAGTTCATAGATTAGAATACATGTATAAAATTGTTTTGGGCATTTTGACAAAAAAAATTTTTTTAAATCAATATTTTGGCAAAAAAAATTTAAAGAATAACCTTTTTTTCCCAAAAGTTCTCCTTTTGTAAAAAAAGCTTCTTTGTATTTTGCCTGTATTCTGCTCAATTTTGTACAGGGCTCAACTAAATTTTTGAATGCATAACTCGGAAGCGATTTAACCATTTTTTACGAAAACAGAGGGAAAAAATTTTAAGAAAAACCCATAATTATTTCATTGGGTTTTAACTCTGAAAATAATGGAATTTTTAAAAAAAAAAAAAACAGATTTTCTGGGAAGTCTTTACTTTATTTAAGCCCCCCAAAAATTATTATTTTAGAAACATTTTTTTTTAAAAAGGGGAAAATTTGAAAAAGGTTATTCTAAGTTAATTTTTGCCAACATATTGTATTTTCTTTTTTTTTTTCCAAAATGTCCTTAAAACAATTGTATACATGTATTTTAATCTTCGTGACATGAAAATTATCTATTTATGCGCTTTTTTAAAATCACGGTTTCGAACGTAATCGGCTACCTTAACGCGAATCGAAAGAGTTATCCTAAAATAAGGATAAATGCGCTTAAGGTTGTTTTCGCCGTATGCACAAGAGTGTGAACTTAACGCGGAGCACATTTTCAAACAGAAAAAAAGGCCTGAAGTTTCATAAAAATTTGGGACATTGTAACTCAAGGATTTGTTTAAAAAAGTGTTTCTCAAACTGTGGGGCGCGAGCATATTAAAAAAAAAGGTTTAAAAAAAATTTTTTTGGGAAAGAATAAAACAAAATGCTGCATAATAAAAATAAATTTGCACTGATATATTTATTTTTAACATCTGGTGATCATCAAAAAAAAAGATTCCACCCTCAAACGGTCATTAGCTATCTTTGATTCTATAACCAAATAAAAAAAGACATTTTGTTTGCTTTACTGTAATCCCAAGATGAGAGATTTTTTATTACGTTTCTTTTAACCTCTAAAATACTACTTTTGATTATCATATATTTGACCTTCAAACTTACTGGTATGTTTCACTCCGTCTTTTTTTCTTTTAGGAAAGTTGTAAATAATATTTTTCTGTTTCTTTTTTTCCCATATGAATGAGTTTTATGATATATGAATAAGCATATTGAGCACTTTAAAGAATTATTTGGCCAAGATGTATTTTTATGAGTATTCTGAAACATATAATGCATAATGAAAAACATTTTACACAATTATTTCTTAGAACATGCTATATACTTTTCCCCATTACAATTTTGTGGTTTTGAATGCTGTGTTGTACGACTTATTATGGTTTATAAATGAAAATGAGCAGAATATTAAAAAAAAATGGGCATCTGTGATCTCTATTGAAGGAAGTTGGAACTGATCAAGCAATTGAAGAACCTACTGAAATAATGCATATTAATCAAGATAGCGAAAGTAAATATGCGAAAAATGATAGACATGAAACGTTTGAGCTGAATTGAAATTTTGAAATGCTGCCTAAAGAACTCTATAAAGAAAACTATGAAGCCATAAATGTAGCACTTCACCTTGTTAAAAAGACACAAGGAAGAAAAAGTTCAAAATGCTATTTGTAGATCATCAAACGTTAGCAAAACTACATTAATGTGAACAAAATATGACAGTTTTTCTGGAAAATAACGCTCCTTCATTGTTAGCGAAAAGTGTCTGTGATTTATGTCCTTTATTAAGGTCACGCACATTTGGAACATTGTCTTTAGTTTTATTGGATTTTTTCTCAAATTTTCAAAAGAAAAATTGAAAAAGTCCTTGAAAGTAGGTAAGTATATTTTCTCTTTATTAAATTATTCACTGGAATTGTGATTTTTACCGTGTATAGTAAAAGAATTATAAAATAAATTATAGTTTTAAAACAAACTAAAAAACACGCTTTTATAGTGAATCGAACTAAAAAGTAAAAAAAATATATATATAAGTATATATTACTTAAAAATAACACATATACAAAATTTAATACTTATCTTGTTAATTTGTACGTTTTATAATTATGATCGTATTGTAGCTTTAGCGCCAAAGTGCATTATTATTGCTTTCGATACATTGTTATTTTTGGGGGGGGGGGCGATATATAAAAATTATGATTGAAAATTGAGTCGCCAGTAGTGAAAGTTTGAGAACCACTGGTTTAAAATGTAGTGTTTTTAAAA